AAAAAGCCGTAGATTATTATTAGTTTTTTTTTTTTTGAGAAAACTGATGTTTCATTAATGGTTTAACCTTTTTTATATATGAAAATTTTTTTTTTGATATATTATATTGGCCCCCATTTTTTATTTTGTTTCAAGCCCCCAAAATTTCAGATCCGGCTCTGGTCCAGGATAATGTGATTTAGTTTTGCGTACCAGGTGAATCGAATCTAGAACGTGTTGGCGTCCCAGTCCTGTCTCTTTACCACTACTTGACCACAATGTCATGGACATAATATTTATTTATTAAATGACTGTACTTGACGTAGGGTAAGTATATGTTCTGTTGGTAAGTATCGGTTAAAAGTTAATTAAATTGATGAAGATGAAGGTGCAATAACTAACCAAGGACTGTGTGAGTTAATTTACAGACACATCTCGTGCTCACTTAGTACTTTGTTTAGTTTGTCTTGTTAAATCGTTAGAAGATTTCTATTTTTAATCCATTACAAATACAAATATTACATTCACGACCAATGAATTTAATCTATTGCAGCATTTAAAAATACATCAAATAGCTCCACAAAGATCCACGATGAACGGTTCGATTTTCTCTAGACAACTTTTTCCTTGATGCATAGAAGCGCGGACGGTTTTACATACACCACATTGTACCACAGCGAACATATTTCCAATTGATCTATTATAATTTACATTTTCTGAGAATCGAAAGCATGAATTATCACTGGTCATGATTCATGAACCAAATGACTTAGAAATACAAATAAAGAATTAATTACTTTAGTTAATCAATATACAAAAACATGCGCTCCGATCCTTAATAATATTTAATTAATATATAGAAATATAATAGCACTAGCACATCGGTACCATCGAGTGTATATATATATACTCAACCTCGACATTGTTGTGTCATTGTATCTCCTCTGAAATCCATCAACAATGGCTGGACTCAGGTAAATACTCTAAATCATCATGAGTATAGATGTTTTACTAATTTATTTACA